CATCCCTTCCCATCAGAGATGGGCAACCAAAATCCAGCAGAGATCCAGGCCAGCATGAGAGACAGGCTGCTACGCCTCCACCCTGGCCTGCATTTCAAAGGCATCACTGACACAGGGGAACAAAGCACAATATTATTTTTAATCTCTTTTCCTAAGCCAGCAGTGAATAGAAGGCTGCGGAGCTCAAAGCACTGAGGCTGATGGACAGTGTCTCAGCAAAGGGCCAAAACTATCTTAACTTCAAGCTTAAGCTCCCATTAGGCAAAGAAAATACAGCCCAAATTATGCTTATGTAGCACCTCTCATGCAAACACCCCAGGACACTCCAGGATCAAACTCAAACACAATCAATCATGGAGATGTGAGCAGTGCTCACCAAGGAAAACAGAGAGCAGGCGAGGCTGGGCAGGAATGAGCACCTGGCTCCCCCAGGGAAGGGCTGGGGGCTGCCAGGGCCCTGGGCAGGCAGGGATGGGTGAGCAGGTGCTGGCAGGCTGTGGGAATTGCTGGGAGGGAGGAGGATGAGCTGGGAAGACAGAAGATCTCCCAGATCCAAAGAGGTTGTTTCCACTGGGGTAACTCATCCCCACCGAGTGTGGACACAGGCTGATGGCTCTGCCAGCTCGACAGGCTGGGTGCTTGGAAGGGCACCCACCATCTGCTCCTGGTGCCCCTGGAGCACACCTTCCCCAGGAACCACCTTACCCCAAACCTGGGTCACAGAGGAACCTTTGCTTGAGTTATGTAAAAAAAAAATAAAAATTAAAAATGGTGTCATTTTCTTTCCTTCTCCTCACAGCATCCCTCCTTGGCCACAAGGAGCAGTGAACCCAGAAATCTCATAAAATAAAATTATTCCTATTTAGGACAGTCAGAGGTTTAGTTTGACTGTTTGGGCTGAGATTTCAATTCAAATTGGTCCTATTCCACAGAAAACCTCCCAATCTTTGCCAATTTATTTTTAAGTGTCAGGACACTCAAGACGGCTGGACATCCTGCAGAACTGAAGAATTAAACTCCAGTAACTCATCCTGTGATGGCTTTAAGGCATAATCAGCTTTCCATTAACAGTCTTGCCACTTTCTAGCCTGTAATATTTTTAAGTAATCAGCAGGAAGAACTTGTGAGCAGGGGTCTCATGACACTGAGGAGGGAGGCTGTGACCCCACTGCAGCATCATTTGCTCAGCATTCAGGTGACAGCAGATCACAAACGCAGCACCTGAGCAAAGTGCCACTGTCTTGCAAGGTCTGAATTTCTCCACAGCTAATTTTAAGCATGCAAATTAGGTGAAGGGCTCTTGGAAAGGGCTGCTAATGCTATCTTTCCACTATGTTGAAAGGGGTGTCTGCTTCAAGATGAGGAGCCTCAGTTCTGCAGAAGGTATCCATGCCATCGTCTCACATCAACGAGGCAGACTTCTTTGCACTCAAAACGATTAGCAGATAATTAACAGAATCACCAAAACAAGACAAATAAAATTTCTAAGCAGCTTATTTAAAACAATTAACAACTCCTAGTGGCATTATTCCTTCTCTAATTAATAGCTAATAACACATGAACTCTATGAACAGGCAAGATTTTCCCCCAGCCTGCTGCAGGTCATGGGGGAGGATGCTTTTTTCAGGTCTGTTGGATCCTATTTCAAATCTCTGCTCAGGGAGCTGGGATCTCCCCATTACCTGTCCAATTAAGTGTCCTAAGCTCTGGGTGACTGGGCATGAAGGGACAAGGATTACCAACCACTCTTCAGCTCTGGAAGTTGTTCTACAGCTCCTAATGAATCTGTCCCCTGGATTTTAGAGGCAAAATGGGATTTGTCAAAGAGAAGCAATTTGTTGGAGACCTTTGGTTCAAACTAAACCAGAAAAAGAAATTAGTCCCAAACCAGTTTTTAAAATCAAATAGTCTGAAAAATTTCAGCTTCAACCAGGCAGGGATTTGGTGAGGTTGAGGAAGAAGTTTAAAAAAGCCAGATCTGCTGTACCTGACAAATTAACTCAGTTTAGTGTGGTTAATATCTGTCACACCTTGACCAAGTATCTGTGAGAGCTTTTTAGGAGCTTTCTGCAATTCCCTTAGAACAATCCTTAGTCCTTGTTTATGAACGAAAGCTTTATCTGCTGTTTTGAAAGGCCTAAATTCCACTTCTCTGATTCTTTTCAGAGGTATGGCAGTCGGCTCCTCAGAAGGTCTGCTGGCCTTGGCTTGGTGCTCATGGCAGCAAATACATGGCCTGAAAGTAGAGATTTTCTCTAAATCTGCAGAGCACCTGGGCCCAGCGAGCTTTGCTCACCGCACTTGCGACAATCCGTGATTTACCGAGATAATCCTCAGACATTTCAAGCTGGGCTGAGGACAGACAACGTTTGCAGCCCGTGCCATCAACTGCATTCATGTGGAGCAGGTGCCAGGCTTGGGAAGTGCCCCGCGTGGGGCAGACAGCACAGCACGCTTCATTAGCAGCCAGCCGGGCAGCTCGCACCTCCGGCACTGCAAACCCAAACCTGGGAGGCACAGGAGGCCAGGTTTCAAAGGCACGGGGGATTTAGGCAGACAATGAGGGGCTCTGTGGAAGCTGCTCCCAGCCCCGCTCATCCTCACGCGTTTGAGTGAGCGCAGCTGCCTGTCGTTTCTAATTCGGGGTGCAACGCCGGGGCTGGGAGTGCCAGACGTGGCCGTGGCAGTCTTATTAAAAACAACAGCTAATCAATTGCCAAATGCCATTTACCCTGGATAACCTCCTTAGCCCAAACCCTCCATATCTGCTGGGGCTGCTTTGATGTGTTGATCTGCTCTCTCAGCCCAGATGTTGTCATAGATTTGCTGACGATGACGGCGAAACAGCTTTGAAATACTCTGGCAAGAAATACTTTCCCATCCTGACTCAGATAGGAGCTGCTTCCCCCCCCACCACTCTCACATTTTTCTTACAGAGGCCATTGGGATGAATAAAGACTCTTTGTTCTTTTCTTGCTAATGATTTTTTTTATATTTTAAAAACTAAGCTGAAATGACAGCAGCAGCTGTTCAGTAGATGAAATAGGTCTCAAATACCCCAGCGATGGCCGGTGTTTGGACACCACTTTCAGCCACAGACACAGAGAGTGAAAAGGCATGAGAGCCTTAACAGCTCCAGAAATACTTTCTCCCTCCCTCTTAAGCCCTAGGAAAGATTAAAATAATTCTTCTGATTGAAAAAATTCTCAGATTTTCTCATGAATATCATGGTAAGACCCTCTTTTCAGACGTACTGATAACCTAGTTAAAAGTAGTGCTTGGTCTTTTATAGGATCCAGAGAGAAAACAGCCTCAAGTTGTACCAGTGGAGATTTAGATTGGAGATTAGGGGAAGTGTTTTCACCAAAAGTGTTACAAGCACCAGCAGAGGGTGCCCAAGAAAGTGGAGGGGTCACAGTCCCTGGTTGGATTTAAAAAACATGCAGATGTTTTTTAAAACACTTGGGGATGTGGTTTTGTGAATGGATCTGTGGGGAGGCATCTGTGTGGATCCATGTGGATGGGTCTGCATGGATGGATCCACATGGATCCATGTGGATGGGTTTGTGTGCGTGGATCCATGTGGATAGACCTGGAAGGATGGACCTATGGGAATGGGTCCGTGGGGATGGACCTGTGGGCATGGATCCTTGTAGGTGGATCCGTGTGGTTCCAAGTAAAACCGTGTGGATGGATCCTTGTTAATGGCTCTGTGTGGATGGATCCCTGTGGCTCTGTGTGGATGGTTCTGTGTGGATGGCTCCGTGCAGCTGGATCCATATGTATCCATGTGGATGATGGAACCTTGCAGAACCCAGTGGGTGGCTCCCTGTGGATGGATGGATGTGGATAGATCCTTGTGGATGGATCCCTGTGAACGGATCCCTTTGAACAGATCCCTGAGAATGGATCCCTGTGAACAGGTCCCTATGGATAAATCCCTGTGACTGGATCCCTGAGGGTGGACCCCTGATAATGGATCCCTGTGGTCAGATCCCTGTGAGCCGATCCCTGTGTGCCAATCCCTGTGAACACACCGCTGTGATTGGATCCCCATGATCGGATCCCCGTGAGCTGATCCCTGTGATTGGATCCCTGTGGATCGATCCCTGTGAGCCGATCCTGTGAAACATCCCTTTGAGCCGATCCCTGTGAGCAGATCCCCACGATCTGATCCCTGTGAGCCGATCCCTGCAGATGGATCCCCGTGGATGGATCCCTGCAGATGGATCCCCATGATCCAATCCCTGTGGATAGACCCCCGTGATCTGATCCCCATGAGCAGATCCCCATGATCCGATCCCTGCGGATGGATCCCCGTGAACCGATCCCCGTGATCCTGTCCCCGTGATCCGGTCCCCGTGATCCGGTCCCCGTGATCCGGGCCCTGTGGATGGATCCCCGTGATCCAGTCCCCGTGGATGGATCCCCATGATCCGGTCCCTGTGGATGGATCCCTGCGGATGGATCCCCGTGATCCTGTCCCCATGATCCGGTCCCTGTGGATGGATCCCTGCGGATGGATCCCCGTGATCCTGTCCCCATGATCCGGTCCCTGCGGATGGATCCCCGCGGATGGATCCCCATGATCCGTTCCCTGTGGATGGATCCCTGCGGATGGATCCCCGTGATCCTGTCCCCATGATCCGGTCCCTGCGGATGGATCCCCGCGGATGGATCCCCATGATCCGGTCCCTGTGGATGGATCCCCCGATCCTGTCCCCGCTCACGCGCGCTGCGGTTGGCAGCAGGGGGCGCTGCGGGCGCTGCGGGCGGTGTCCGCGCGGGGGCGCTCGGGGCGGGCGGGCGGCGCGGGCG